TTAATTTTGATATCATAATAGTCGAACCTTTATTATCACATAACTCATGAAATTTTGCAGCTTCAAATCCATCTCTACTTGCACGATAAAGAAGTTTGAATAAATAAGGAGTACTTCTAGTATTATAAAAAGACTTTTCCTTTTTATCAATCCAGCTTGCAATTATTGATAAGTGATCTCTTTTGATAAGAACAGAATCAATATAAGATAAATTACGTCTTAAAGGTAATATTGCATTAATTGGTGGTGTGTCAGGATCAATATGATATCCAATAATATCTTTATAAAGTTGTTTTTGAAATATTGGCTCAAATTGATTAATCTTTCTCCAAAAAACTTTTCCAGGAATTTGAAACCATCTAATATGTGGAATTAAATCGTGTAAAATTTTTTCTAATTCTTCAAAATTATTTGACACCCATTGAGATAAGTCATCAACATTATGTTGAGTAGACATTCTTGCAAGAGCCCATTTAAGTATGGATTCCCAAATATCAATTTCTTCCATTTCAAGCTTATTATTTTTTAAGAAAAGAATAATAAGGTCTTTTTCTAATGAAGTGAATTTTGGAGATTCAAAAAGTATTTTAGGATCTTTACAAATAGTGTCTAAACAAAATTTACGTAAATTTTCACAACTCTCATACCGAAATACAATTTGAAGAACGCCAACAGGATCATTTTTTAAATATTCTGCTTGATTATTAATCAGATAAGTTTGAATATAATCATTTAATTTTTGCAAATCCAATTCATCAGATGCCATTAAAAGTTTTAACATTTGTGCTCCATTTTGTTTATTAAAATTAACCAATCCAGTATAAAGATATTCTAAAATTAATTCAATAATTTCTGGAGAAATATTTGGCTTTTTGAAAATAATTACACCATTTTCTTTTTTCGCCCATTCTTTTGATAATGCAGTTTTGAAATATGTTGACCTAGCTCTTAGTATTAATGAATGTGCAAAAAATTCTTTCATATTTTGACCTTCTCCAGCTTGAATAATTAAATCATAATTATCTCCAGAAGTAAGAAGTTGACCAATATCTTGTGATAAATCTAATAACAAGTTTTCCGCCATTTTTATTTTCAAAAATTAGAGAAAGAATTGTCGTACTAACTTTATAATAAATAAATGAAGATCACATATCATGTGATATGTAACAGCGAATCAATTTAATTTATTTATCATCATTTTTTACTACCTGATGTACCTCATAATCTTCTAAAATATAATCTTTACCACAATTTATAATTTTAAATACATCTGAATATGTACCGCAACCATATGTTCTAATAAATTTTTTACGCTCTATAATTAAATCCCATCCGTCTCCAAAAGCTGGCCCATAATTTGAATCATAACATACTGCGTAAACTCCAGAATTTTTAACTCTTGTTAAAAATGCCGAATTAATTTCTTCCTTTCTTGTAAAAGAAAATAAGAAACTATCTGATGTAGATTGCCAACTTCCATTGCTATTAGTATAAGAATTATAAGGATGCCAACTTAATGGATTATAACCTCCAATTAACTGGCCATTTTCTTTAAATTTTGATATCATAATGGTCGAACCTTTATTATCACATAATTCATGAAATTTTGCAGCTTCAAATCCATCTCTACTTGCACGATAAAGAAGTTTGAATAAATAAGGAGTACTTTTAGTATTATA